TGGTGGGTTCGAACTGCCAACCTTTAGGTGAGCAGCCCAGAATGTAATGTACTATATCCCCTTTTTCTCTTTGCTTTCAACATTTGTTTTCTACAGTCATAGTCACCCTTACATGTAAATATATTATACAGAATTTTTTCTACCAAGTGATCAAATCATAACTCTTTGCTGTTGTTTGTTATGTGCCATCGAGCTGCTTGCGACTCATAGCGACCCTATGTACAAGAGCTCTAGAGAGCTCTATCCTGTGCCAATCTTATTGTCTCTGACACACCTACCCTCATTGCCCCAGTGACTAAATCAATCCCTCTCATTGAGGCCCTTCCTCTCCTACACTGTCTCTCCACCCTCCCAAGCATGATGTCCCTCTCTGAGGACCAGTCCCTACTTGTAACATGTCGAAAGTGTGTCAGAAGCTTCAGAATCCTTGTCTCCAAAGGGCAGCCTGATTTTACCTGCTCCAGGATGAACCTGTTTGTTCTAGCAGTCCATAGTACATTCAACACTCTTCTCTAGCACCACAGGTACAAGGCATTGATTCTCTGTCATCCCTAGTCATTGTCCAGCTCTCTGATGCATAGCAAGCAATTGCGAATACTATGGCCTGGATCAGGAGCACCTTAGTCTCTAGAATGATGTCATTGCTCTTTGGTACTCTGGAGAGGTCCCTGACAGCCAACTTTGCCAATGCAATTCATCTCTTGATGTCCTGGCTGCTGGTGCCAACAGTGTTGATTGTGGAGCCAAGCAAACTAAAGCTGTTAACCATCTCAATCTCTTCATCATCCATCCATAATGATGCTGCCAATTGGCCCCCTGGCGAGGATCTTTTTATTCTTGGGGGTGGGGGTGGGCAAATGTATCTGTTCACAGAACCAAAGTCCAAGAGTGAATCTCTCACTAAAAATCCAGGTGTTCATAGATGCCAGTAAGAAATTCTTTTTCTTGCGCTCTGCTTTCCTTCATGGTAGCTTCATTCCAGGCTCACTCTCTTCTCTTGATGGACATATGGGTTCCAGAAGATTCAAGTTTACATTTTACCAGCTTATCAGTCTCAGCAGAGAGAACACTTCCTCAAAACTTTTAACAATCCTAGAATTGAGTCTCATGGGCTTGGCTTGACCCATTCATTTATTTCTCTATTAGTTTGCCTAGGAGTAGAATGTTCTGATTTGCCAGACCTGGGCCACCTGGGCCAGGTCAATGCCATCTTATTTTCCCATTTTGAATGCATAAATGTTTGCTGATTTAGTATGACGAGATGTGATATATCTCCTCTAGTGAAGGAATCTCAAGGCCCGAGGAATTGATGGAATACCAATTGAGATTATATATATATATATATCCCAAACAAACAGATGGAGCCCTGGAAGTGCTCACCAGATAGTGCCAAGAAACACAGAGGACAATTGCCTGGAAGAGATCATATTTATTCCCATTCCCAAAATAGGCAATCCAAGAAAGTGGAACTATCACTAAGCAAAATCACACACAAGCATAATCCTGTTGAAGATTATCCAAAAGTGACTGGAATAGTACATCAACAGAGAACTACCAAAAATACAAGCTGGGTTTAGAAGAGGTCATGGAACTAGGGACATCATTGCCAATGTCAGATGATTTTGGCCAAAAGCAGAATACTAGAGTCTTATCTGTGTTTTATTGACTATGCAAAGGCATTTGACTGTGTGGATCACAACAAATTGTGGCTAATCTTGAGAAGAATGGGAATCCCAGAACACCTGATTGTGCTCATGTGGAACCTATATGTGGGCTAGGAGGCAATTGTCAAAACAGAGCAAGGAAACACTGCATGGTTCAAAATCAAAAAAGGTGTGCATCAAGGATGTGTCGTGCCTCCATACACTTTTAATCTGTATGCAGAACAGATCATTCGAGAGGTTAGACTATATGAGGAAGAATGTGGCATCAGGATTGGAGAAAGACTCAACAACATGCTTTATGCAGATGAGACTATCCTCGCTGAAACTGAGGAGGGCCTGAAGCATCTGCTGCACAGGGTCAAGGACTGTAGTCTGTAATATGGATTGAAGCTATACATCAAGAAAACAAAGACACCACTGGCCAATTGGTAGCATCATGAAAGATGAAAAGATTGAGATTGTTAACAATTTCAGCTTGCTAGATTCCACAATCAACATTCTTGGCAGCAGTTAGGAAACCAAAAGACAAACTGCATTTGGAAAGTCTGCTTTCAGGGACTTCTTCAGAGTGCTGAAGAGCAAGTATGTCAAACTAGAGAGTAAGATGTGCCTGATCCAGGCCATGGTCTTCGCAATTACTTGCTATACATCAGAAAGCTGGACAATGACCAAGGATGACAGAAGAATCTATGATTTGGAGTTGTGGTGCTGGAGAGGAGTATTGAACATACCATGGACTGCTAAGAGAAGAAATAACTCTGTCCTGGAGAGAATGAAACCAGACTACCCCATGGAGGCAAGAATTTTGAAACTCCATCTCCCATACTTTGGGCATGTTGTCAGAAGGGACCAGTCAATGACTAGGGACTACAGAAGAATCAATGCCTTGGAGTTGTGCTGGAGAAAAGCACTGAATATACCATGGAATGCTAGAACTAAGATCTGTCTCAGAGAGGGTGAAACCAAGCTGCTTCCTGGAGGCAAGGATTTTGAGACTCTGCCTCACATACTTTGGTCATGTAGCCAGGAGAGACCAGTCTTTGGAGGATCATGCTCAGAAGGGTCGAGGGACAGCACAGGAGAGGAAGGCCTCGGATGAGATGGATTAACACAATACCTGGGTTAATGAGGGTAGGTGAGTTAGAGACAGTGAGAATGGCTCAGGGTAGAAAAGGGTTCAAAGCTATTGTACAAAGGGTTGCTGTGAATCACAAGCAACTCAACAGCACATTAACAATAACAAAAGAATCTCTGAGCAACTTTCCCAGCCATGACCTTCTTGTAGAGAAAATGTGTCCCAGTCCCTCGGCTACCATTATAGCAAGCAGCCAACGGTATTATCTCCTTTTAATATATTAATGGTAGTCCCTACTCTCCTCACTGTTTGTAAGAAGTCATACATATGAAAGATGCTCTGGTGTCACTGTGGTTAAGGCATTCAGTTGCTAAATAAAAGGTCAGCAGTTTGAACCAGTCAAAAAAGATGGTCCTTGAAAATCATATGCACAATTTTACTCTGACTTGAAGTGCTGCTGCAGAAGGTCAAGGGCTGCAGCCATTAATATGGATTGAAGCTCAACATCAAGCAAAAAAAATATTCTCACCACTGGGCCTATTGGCAGCATCATGATAAATAGTGAAGAGATTAAGATTGTTGACAGCTTCAGTTTGCTTGGCTCTACAATCAACACTCTTGGTACTAGCAGCCAGAAAATTAAAGATGAATTGCATTGGGAAAGTCGGCTGTCAGGGACTTCTCTAAAGTAATGAAGAGCAATCAGGAGACTCATATGCACCTGACACAGGCCATGGTCTTTGCCATTACTTGCTCTGCATTAGAGCTGGACAATGATTAGGGATGACAGAAGGAGAGTTGATGCCTTTGAGTTGTGGTGCTGGAGAAGAGTACTGAATATACCATGGACTGCTAGGAGAACAAACAAGTTTGTCCTGGAGAGGGTGAAATCAGGCTGCTCCTTGGAGGCAAGGATTCCGAAGCTTTTCCTGACAAACTTTGGACACGTTGCAAGGTGGGATCAGTCCTTGGAGAGGGACGTCATGCTTGGGAGGGTGAAGGAATGGCGCAGGAGAGGAAGACCCTCGATAAGTTAGGCGCAGGAGAGGAAGACCCTCGATAAGTTAGATTGATTCAGTCACTGGCGTAAGGGGGATAGGTGTGTCAGAGACAATAAGATTGGCATAGGATAGAGCAGGGTTTAGGGCTGTTGTACATAGGGATGCTATGAGTCGCAGGCACACAACACCACCATAATGATTCACCTGAGTTGGAATTTGACTGCAAGGTAGTGAGTATAGATATGAACATGAGGACACTTCAGACACACCGAGACCAAACTCACTGTCTTTGGGTAAGTTCCAACTTAAAGCAAGTCAACAGCAGTGGCTACGGTAATACAAAGATACTTAATACCCACCTTGTAGCCAGGAAATCAAAAGAATTGCATTGGGAACATCTGCTGTCAGGGATCTCTCCAGAGTACTCGAGCAATTGTATCACTGTAGAAACTAAGGCGCACCTGGCCCAGGGACATCATACTTGGAAGAGTGGAGGTACAGTGCAAGAGAGGAAAACCCTGGATGAGATGGATTGACATAAGCGACTGGGGCAATGGCGTAGGTGTGTCAGACAATGAGGTTGGCTCACAATAGATCTGTTTGTACACAGGGTCGCTATGAGTCAGTCGCAAGCAACTCGATGGCACATAACAATACCCACCTAAACCAAACCATCAACACGATTCTAACTCAAGGCCCTTTTATAAAAATAATAATGAATGGGGGGGGAACCAAGGTGGATTTGAATAAATTATATTTAATTCAGTAGATGCTAAGAAAAAACAAAAAGACATTTGGATTGGAGGGATAACATACAGAACTTTAAAAACCTACCTATAACCTATTTAAATAAAAACATTGTCTTCCCTTGAATTCTGGGAGGGAGACCATGCAAGGATACTTCTACAAAGGAGAAAACTAAGACTCAGAAAGTGTAACTGGCTTGCCTCCTTCTGGAACCAGCAATCATCGCTGTTCTAAGTCCCTCATCTCTCGATTCAGAACTTGAATTCCTTTCTAAGGAGGAGGTCCCATGTTGCTCCTAATGCAGAAGGGAGAAGGGAAACCCTACTTTAAGTTAAGTACCACTTCCTCCTCCCTTTAGCCCGCGGAGCTCGCCTCCCTCCGCTCCGCCGCGTCCCGAGTCACGAGTTTCCCTCGCCGGCCCGCCTCCTCCTTTGCTGATTGGATAGTCTTAGGCAAATTCTGTCTTCTCATTGGTCAGACCCTTTCCGACCTCGTATCACTACGGCAGATCAGCCGGACATAGGGGCCGGGTTTCCGCTTCCGCCTTCTCCCTCCTCCCGCTTGTCCTCCGCTCGGACTCGCCAGCACAGCGGCTGCTTCCTGGCTAGGTGTCGGTGTGTCTGTTGGCTTCTCTCCCGACGTCAGTGTCCGTGCCGTTGAACTGCCGGCCATGGCTGAGGTGGATCCGTTTGGCGCCCCCACCGGCGCCCCAGGCGGCCCTGCACTGGGGAACGGGGTGGCCGGCGCCGGCGAAGAAGACCCGGCCGCGGCCTTCTTGGCGCAGCAAGAGAGTGAGATTGCGGGCATCGAGAACGATGAGGCTTTCGCCATCCTGGACGGAGGCGCCCCCGGGCCTCAGCCCCATGGCGAGCCGCCGGGGGGTCCGGGTGAGAGTGAGGGCGCGCCGGAGCTGTAGGACTTGTTTGGAAAATCGGGACAGAGTGGGACCGAGAGCTTCTGTGGGACTTTAACTCCTATTCTTGCAAAACCGGGAGGTTAGAAAAGGAGTGAAAAGAGGAAACGAGACCCCGGCCCAGTCATGCAGAAACCTAGTTTGGGAAGCCAGCCACTGTGACTGCTCTAAGGGGCAGGCAGAGCGAGGAAGTCAGTAGAGTGAGACTTAAGCTGAGGAGCCCGAGGAAGCCCGTTCAGTTGAGCAAGTTTTCATTGAGCACTTGCTGTGTATTGAACCTGGGCCCTGAAACAGCCGCATTGGCGCATGTTGACAGGCTTACAGGCAAGTCTGATCCCAGTACAGAATCCAGTCCTAGGAAAAGTGAGAATAGTAATTTTTAAAAAGATACGAAAACCAGCAATGCAGTTAAGCTTGTTAACTCTTCGCACACACAGAGGCCTGGGTTATGGAGAAGGAAGGCTACTCAAGAAAAATTATTCTAGCCCCGGGCAAAGAAACTTGAACCTTAGAAGTTTTTACATTTGTTGAGCTATATTAGAACGGAGACTGCTGGAACGCTGCTGCTTCAAAGGGACAGCTTTGGTAGCCAGTGTTGTGGAACCCGAGGTTAGCTTGGACCAATTATGGAGGGAAGAAGAGGTGAACTGAAAATGCAGCGTGGCATTCTCACCCCTCACCCCCCAGCCAAACTGAAGGAAAAGAAGTTCGGGAATGAGGAAGAGTAACGATTGAACTTTGAGTGCTTTACTTGTGTGTGATGCTTCTAGTCGTAGAAGTGGGGAGACAGTGAATGGAAGAGTATAGGAAACTAGAGTTTAGGGGAAGAAATAAGGCATGTGTGACTTGTTATTTGCCAAAGAAAAACTTCCAGTAAGAGGGGAATAAGGCACTGGTGGGGCTGATAGGCATTGTCTATTCTAAGGGACCTTCTAAGGAAGGTAACGAATGATATAAACAGGCTCGAATGATATAAACAGGCTCGGCAGGAGACCATAAGAATGTTGAAGACAGAGCCTTCAGTGCACTAAAGCATAGGATTCTATTTAAAAAAATTCAGGCTCAAAAATCTGAAATTACAGTGCCAGCCAAGCAGAACATCTGAGGGGGGATGGAGACAGTTTACAGCTTCTCACTTCTCTGTATTATGTCAGGCTGCTTCCTAATCAGTTTAGCCCCCTAGGAAGAATCTGTGAGAACCAAAAGGATTATCAAAGAAAGAAAGGTCAAGGAATATTTTCAGAGAAGCAAGCCTTGAGTATATTCTGGAGTTGCCTAGGCTGTGAATGTATGTAGTTTATAGTAATTTTGTGGGACTGAACTGGGCTGTGCCTGAGACAGGAAGTTACTTTTAGGTGGTATTTTCATTGGGTGTACATTTGCCTGAGAATCATAACATGTATCTTTTTAGATCCTGGATTTATCTCCATCTAATAAAAGTGGAAACTGAATCCTATAGCAAAGTGACTTAAGGAAAAAGGCGAGTTAGTAGCTGAAAACGGGGAATCTCCACCTTTACAGACTGGAGAGTTTTTGTTTCTCCTGCAGTCTTAGCACTCATGTTGACAACTTGGCATTTCCAAAAGGCAGTTGAGGCTGCCCTGGCTCAGGGTGTTGGAAGGGTTGTTCCCACATACCTAGTTGTCTCAGACAGTGTTGTATCCTGCCCTATCTTTAATAGCTAGCAGATGTCTACCAGAATAGGTGCTCACGTGCTTGTCAAAGGAAGGGGCTACCGTGTCAGGCCTTAGGGTCCTGTATAGAGTGGGCAGGTCTTAGTGGCACGCAGGTGGGGAGGTAGAGAATAGAGTTGGACTTGGGCCCCTTATGCATTCATTAAGCCTTCAGTAAAGGGAAGGAAGACACGATTGCTGACTTAGTTCCTAGGAAGAGTTTTCTTAGTGAACTAAGCATTAAGTGACTTAAAGCCAGATTCCTGACAGTATGCTGAGGTTGTTAATACTATAGGGGTCAGCACTTCCTTGAGGATCAGAGAACTGTGTAGACATTTTCTCTTTTTTAAAAGGAAACACTAGTGATTAAGATTGTGTGCTATTATGTGGACTGCTTGAACATTGCTTTGTGGTTTCAGGCAAGTTATAACTGTGACCACCACCCTGCCACAGTTTTCTACTCTATAAAAGGTGCATAATAATACACCACATAAGGTTTCTTTGATTCTATTAGCGTGCTTGTAACATGCTTACAGCCCACTAACCAAACCCAAGTTGGTTTTGGATCAGTGACCTGACATTCGGTGTCTGAAGCTGTAAATATTTTTGAGAGAATTCCCATTTTCTCCCAAAAAGTAGCTGGTGAATGGAAAATTTTCATTTAGCAGCCTGATAGTATACACTCACCTTGTACACTGGGCTACAAGAACTCTTTCTAGGCACCCAGTGAATTCCAGCTGCTCTTTATTCCCTGGAGTGGGTTTAGAGAAGAAAGAAATTTTGAGACAGATTTGGAGATTTACTGGGAACATGGAGAGGTTTTAGGAGGGAACTCTGACAGTGTACTTAAGCTGTGAGAGGGATTGAGGAGAGAGGATGACATCCACATTAATCCCAGCCTTGGAGGAAACTCTTCCTTAGAAAGAGAGCAGTTTTCCCTGATCCCTCGAAGCTTCCTCAGTTGTCAAGAAACCTAGAGAAATTCTTAACAGAGGCAGCCAGTTGAAGGAAGTGTCTTCAGTGAACTGAGGAATATCAAGTAGGCAAGGAAAAAGCAACGGAAGTGCTTTCATCTTTGGAAACCTTATTCTGTCTGGAGTTCATAAGATGTCCTGCAAAGTTTCCTTCTGGAGAATCAGGTTGCTTAGCCTAGTTATTCTAATAAATCAGAGGCTGCTTAAATACTCTTTCTGAATACCTATATTTCCTTAGACCAGTTAGTTTTTGGTTCACTGAAGAATGTCAATACAATGAAGAATAAAGAACTCAAAGCACATGCCAGTGTCTCTTCTAGATTTAAAAGATGGGCAACATGATACCTAGATGGAGGTACAGGATAAGGATTGCTTCTAGCTTCCAGTACAGATTAATGATCAGAGTCTCTTTTTTTCTATTGACAGTGGTCCTGGATAAGAGCATATTAACTAGATAGTATCTTAGATTCATTGCTTTCGAGCAAGTTGCAACTTAGAGCGAACCCTTTATTGGTTTGAGACTGTAAATTTAATGATAGACGCCTTTCTTTCTCCCTTGGAGTGGCTGTTGGATTCCAACTGCTTGCTTGACAGAGCCTTTTTTGGTTAGAAGTGCAACTCTATGGACGTGCTGCCTGGAGCCTCTGCATGTTAACTGTAACATATTAACTAGAAGAATGTCTGTATGCTGCAAAATCAAGAACTCCTGGGTGTGTTAAGGAGATTCTTTTTTTAAAAAGTATCAGAAGTTTCATTAAAATATAAAAACAAAAACTATCAGAAGAAAAGTGAATTTAACTCAGAATAGGAAAGACCTTAAGCATAATATCAAACACAGAAAATGTAAAGAAAAAATTACTAGTGTCTGCATACTGAGTTAGAGTCAACTCCTCAGCACATAACGACAGTGTACAAGTTACTAGAGTTCTTACATGATTTAAGTGGTTAAGTGTCCAACTATTAGGTGACAAGCTGGCAGTTTAAATACATGCACCCATACATACACATATAAGAAGATGGACCCTAGCAAGCTACTTCTAAAGTATCAGTCTTGAAAACCCTGTAGAAGCAGTTCTTTGCCCTCATGGGTCATATGACTAAGAACTGACAGCAAATAGCAACAAAAGTTAAGTGCTTTTAGATATTAAATATTTTTTAAAGCAAAATGGTGAAATACTTAAGCAAGGATTAATATTTAATATCTACAGAAAAATGGACAAAACTCAATACAGAAAACAATAAAAACTGTCAACTGTGTACCCCATAAGAAATAGCCACTATGTAGGGGTTTTTTTACTTACCGGATTAGCAAAATTAAAAAACAAAAACCCAACACAAAACCAACCCACAACCCATACGATAAAAAAGTCTCCAGTATGGAATCTTGTTCTATTGATAGTGATATATTTTGGGAAACCAGTATGTATATAAGTGGTTAGTATTTTGGAAGTCTTTAAAAAATAACGTCCATAACCCAGCCATTCTGTATCAGAGAATTCATTGTAGAGGAACTATTGAATATGCCAAAAATTATTTTTTGTAGCTGCTTATATTGAAAATATTGACAGGCTGCTTTAGAAATTACATGTACAAATAGCTTACAATAGGAAAAATCCCCACTACTAGCAAAATATATATTCTTAAGAAATAGTTTTGTAGTATGGTAAAATAAGGCACAGGACTAAAGTAAATTTCTTAAAGAATTAGAAAAATGTTGGAGCTCTGGTGACCTAGTGGCAAGAAGCTGCGCTGCAATCCCAGATTAGATGCATGTAGTTTGAACCCGCCAGCTGCTCTGTGGGAGAGGGATGAGCAGTCTCCTCCCATGCCATTAACTGCCTCTGAAAACCTGCCGGAGGGTCAGCTCTGTGTTGGTTCCAACTCTACAGTACACAACAAAACCTACTTTAAGGGGGGGGGGGGGGAAGAAATGTTGACATTACCAGGATACGTAAATTAGCAATTAAAATGAAACAGGTTGGTTTATAAATGTTTACTTCTATGGTTTGTGTTCATTTATCATCTTAACATATAATCTGAATTCTTGGCTTGGTCATATATAACCACTTTTTAAAGATTGATGATCTCGTAGAAACATTAAATATAAAGCATAGAGAAAATATTACTGATTATCTATGCATCTCAGAATGCCTATTGTAAAAGTGTGACCAGGGTGCTCTTTGGGAGTCAATGATGGTGAAGCTTCATCTCACATTCTTTGATCTTGTTAGGAGAAGGGAGTCCTTGGAGCAGCCATCACACTTGGAAGGGTGGAGGGTGAAGGTTAGCGAGGCCCTCAACAAGATGGATTGACATGGTTGGTGGCTTTATCACAATGTACTCAAGCTTATTAGAAATGGTGGGGATGGCCCAGGAAAAGGCCAGGTTTAAATCTGTTCATAAGATTGCTGTGAGTTGCAGTTGACTCAACAGCACATAACAACAACACATGTGTTCTAGGGTGGTTTGTGAAGTTCTGTGTACGTAGGTTTCTTGCCAGATTTAAAAGTTGATTTGTATAACATATTTGAAACTTAATTGGCACATTGGTAGCATTTAATAAGGAATAAATATCAGACTGAAAAACACTGATTATTTAAAGAGATAGATGTATGAATAACTAAAAAGTACATGGTAGTGATCCAGTTTTGCTTAAAGACATTCATTTTATGTATATGTATTAGATAAACTGAAAAGGTAGAGACAAATTTGGTAGAATTAACATACATTTACTTCTATTTTTTTTTTTTCATTCTTAAAAAAAATGTGTTACTAGAGAGAGCATGGTAGGGAAATGATCCATGAAAGAGTTTTTGTTGTTATTTTTTTAATGTTAAGTTTATTCACTCAGCAGTAAGAGGAGAATTTTAGAAAAGACCAATAAAACTTCTTTTCATCTAGGTCACGTTTCCCAAAGCATGGTCTTGAGACCCTGAAAGTTTTAAGTACTTTCAAAGCCAAAAGAAAGAATTGGGAGAAGAGGACCACTAGAATGAAGAAAATAGAAAAGTTGATTTGGGAACTATTTCAAATTGGGTTTAATTAGTTAGGTGCCCTGAGTAACTGAAATCTTATGTTTTGCAGATGCTATTGATGGTGTGATGAATGGCGAATATTACCAGGTACAGAAACCTCTGATTATACTGAATGGTGGTAGTCAGTAGTTCTCCTTTACTTTGATTTGATTGTATTGACTCGTAAACTACTTTGCTTTCACTTTCTTAAGTGTAATAGTAATGAGAGTATTATCAAAGTGAAGGATTTGAAGTGGTAGTAATAAGACCACTCTTAAAGTGTTAGTGGCCTGGCCAGTAGCCTACTACCTTTATTTTCAAGAAATGACCTTTCAGCTGCTGCTGATAATGATTCATTTGAACATTGTGCCAGCCTCTCTGTTAAATGTAATTCATGTTTTAATCTTATTTTATCTTATTTTCCATTTTCACAACTATCTGAGGGATATATATATTATTGTTCCCATACTGCATATTAATAAAGGCACAGAGAGAGTAAGTCAATTGTTCAAAATAACGAAGTAATGTATAGGAGAGAAAAAAAGTACTGCATGGTGAGGGCCAGAATTTGATTCTTTTTGATTATGTTGGCATTCTGGGTCTCTAATGGACCACCATTATTTTCCCTCTGTATTACTAAGCTTTTAATTGCCATCATTTTAAACTGCATGGTTTAAAATTAAGGAAGTACATCAGGATTGTATTCTGTCTCCATACCTATTCAGTCTGTCTACGGAGCAAATTATTCAAGAAGCTGGATTCTGTGAAGAATGTGACATCAAGATTGGAGGAATACTCATCAATAACTAATAACCTGTATTCTGCGAATTACACAACCTTGCTGAAAGTGAGGAGGACTTGAAGTACTTGTTGCAGAAGATCAAAAACCTTCAATATGGATTGCATCTCACTGTCAAGAAAACAAAAAGTCTTACCATTGGACTGATTGGCAACATCTTAATAAAAAGATAGAAACTGTCAACAGCTTCATCTTAGTTGATCCACAGTCAATACTGACTTCAGCAGTCAGGAAATCAGGATATGTCTTGCACTGGAAAAGTCTGCAGTTAGAGACCTCTCCAAATTGATGAGCATCGATGAGGGCCAGGCTGCATCTGTTTGAGGCCATGTTCTTTGTGAGCACTTGCTACACATCTGAGAGCTGAGCAGTGAATAAAGATGCCCTTGAGCTGTGGTGTTGGAGATGAGTACTCAACATGCTATGGACTGCCAAAAGAACAATATGTCTTGGGAAAAATGCAGCCAGAGCACTTCCTGGAGGCAGAGATGATGAAGCTTTGCCTCACATACTTCAGACATGTTGCTAGGAGGGGCTGTTCCTTGGAGAGGGACATCATGCTTGGAGAAGTAGAGGGTTGGTGAAGGAGAGGAAGACCCTCAACCATGTGGACTGACATAGTGACTGCCGCAGTGGGCTCCAGTGTGTCAGGATTGTGAGGATAGCACAAGATGGGACATGGTTCAGATACATTGTTTTAAGGTCGCTATTCTTTGTACTTGACTTGAAGGCACCTAACAATTGCCATCTCAATTTTTCTTGGCATTGGCTTAAACAAGAAACTGATTCCTATAAGTAAAAGATCTCTGAGATAAGCATGGTATATGCTTGGACCAGGACTCTGCCTCAGCTTTTCCTAGGATTCTTTGCCTGCTATCTGATTCTTTTCTGCTGAGACTTTTTTTGTTGTGGCAGAATGGCTACAGTAGTCCCATCCTTAAGATAGTCACATCATACTAGAACAAGAATGGTACCTTGCTGCCTTTTCTAGCCATCAAGTCCTGAGTTTTCCTCTAGAACTATAAGGAATAATCAGTATAACCTGGGGCAGTGACTTGATAATTTGCTTATGCTTGGGTTTCTGCCACTCTCTGAACCAATAAACTATGGTGAGAGGGATGAAATGAACTTAATTGGTTTAGACTATGGGTGGGAAATTTTATTTTCCCCTGGAAAGGGCCAGATAGTAAATATGTTGAGCTTTGCAATCCCTATAGATTCTGCCTCACACTGTCATTATAACGAGAGCAGCCGAAGATGGTATGTAAACGAATGGGCATGGCTGTGTTCCAGTAAAATTTTTATTTGCAAAAACAACCTGCATCATAGTTTCCAATCCCTGATATAGAAGATTTGAGACAGACCTGGGTTCAGATTATGACTTTATCATTTACTAGCTGTGAATTTGGACATAGCGTTTCTCTGTACCTCACTTTCACTTTGCCTATGAAATAAGAATAAGATTTAACTTGCAAAGTGATTAGGATATAAAGCTTTTATGTGCCTGGTATATAGGAAGTACTAATAACTTACTGATACTTTAAATAATTATCTTTCATCTTTGGAATATTCTAAATAACCTCATTGGGTTAACTTGGCCATATTTCTAATTTCAACAAGTAAAATAATTCTCTAAAGATTAACACTATATTTGAATGTTTATCAATTTATATATTAGCTCCTAAGTTTCTACCTTTTTTTTTTTTTAAGTTTCTACCTTTTACAATAAGTTTCTTGTGACTCTTTTTTTAAAACCCCTTCCTTGTACTCTGTTTCCTAACATCAACTATGTTTTGATCAGGTGATGCTAGTGACCTTTCTTCTGCATAGTGGGATAGTATTTGGATGTCTTAAGGTCTAGACCTTGTTAGGCTGTGTACTTAGTTTGTGAGATAATACTATTTAATCTTGGATGAGAAAACTAAAGCTGGTCACACTTCCCCCAAGAAGTCCATTCTTCCTCCCTCACACAGCTTTTCTGCCTCCCACTCATGCCCTGTTTTATTAATATGATATTACAAGTACTCTGCCTCTTTCCTGGGATAGGAAAATTAAAAACAACCCTCTGTTGCATGTAAGGTTATGTTGTTACTTTTAAAATAGTAAGCCCTTTAACATTTCATAATTGTTGTATATTTAACAAGAGGTTATAACTTGAATGTGGTACATTTCAGAAAGGAGTTTTTGGTACTGAGAGAGCACAATTGTGTTTTGTGTTAAGGAGACTAATGGCCCAACAGACAATTATGCAGCTATCTCACAAGTGGATCGATTGCAGTCAGAGCCTGAAAGTATTCGTAAATGGAGAGAAGAGCAGACGGAACGCTTGGAAGCCCTTGGTAAAGAATTCCTTTTTGTCTTTGGATGTCTGTATTCAGAAGGATAGTGGATGTTGACTGTGCTGTTTTAACTTGAATTAGCCATAATAACCTTGCCTGCTCTTTGAGAAAATAACTTTTCTCAACCCAAGAGTTGCGAGGCTGCTCGCATGGAGGTGCTTAAATCATAGGTCATGTTCTGAGGCATCAGGCAGCCTGCTCACCTCCTGTCTTTTCATAGGAGGAGCAAAATGGTCCTGTCGGGAGAGAATAGACTTAAAGATGGGTTTTGAGGCCAACTGTGGGCACTTGCTAACTCAAATAATTTAGAGTCTGTCTTCACTGTATAGTAGGATCAGCGTTACCTCAAGGAGAGTCTTAAAGTGGTATTTTTTTATTGTACTTTGTAAACTTGAAGATAACCATATGGGAGACTTTCACAGTCTATCATTTGAAGGCTTAGCTTAAGGTAACACTTAAGAAAGAATGTGAGATCCATTAGGAAATGTACAGTTTGTTTTCTCTTTAATGGAATATTTGTGTAAGATTCTTTTTTATATTTTTGTGGGTGAGGAAAGTAAAGGTCATACGGAGAATAAGTTTTTGTTCACACAGCCAAGAAATGATAGAATTAGTTTCAGCTTACATCTGCTCTCTTCCAGAGTCTTGGAAGTTCTCTTCTCCAACATTGTTTCCTAAGCACTTAATGCTTAGCCGGACAGGCAAAGCCTGAGATCAAATTCTACTAGTCTAACTGTTGGCCACAAGCTGTGTCCCTATGGAATGTTACCTATTGGTTCAAAATAAGTAGGGATCTGGTGTCTACCTGGATGAGGGGGTTTGGAGAGGAATGGCAATAGTTGGAAGATACAACTTACAGTGTATTCCTTTATGAACTTTTAAAATTTAAAACATGTAATAGTTGAAAGAATAAAATTAACATCACATACCACTTAAATTCATTAATATTTTGAGTTACTTTTATGTAAAAGAAACATGTAGGTGGAAATATATAATATTCACACTTGCACATTTCCCCCCCTAATCTACTTGTAAGATAAAATTGTCATTTACTTCATGTTTAATATTTTATTTTTCTCCAATGTTAGCAGGGAGTTCTGGTGGCTTAGAGGTAAGGAGTTGTACTGTTTACTCCAAGGTATACAGTTTGAATCCATTCACCTGCTGCTCTGTGGGAGAAATACGGGCAGTCAACTTCTGTGAGATATACTGCCCTTAAAACCTGCTGGAGGGTCAACTATGAGTTGGTTCCAACTCGATGGTACATCACAACAATGTTAGCTTTGTTAGAGGATCACCGAAAAGAAATGACTTATTTTTTTAAGGTAAGGAAATGTAAGTTCAGAAATAAGACTTGATCAAGATAACACAGTACCAAACCATATTTTCTCTCTAGACTAATATGTGTAGCTTTCTGAAAAAACAGCACACTTCTTTTTGAACCTGGTAGAAATTTTTTGATGGAAATTGTCTATGATTGGAACTCTTCAGGCCCTGCAAAGGCTTTCATTCTACCTCAGAGTGAATCAGAATATGCTGTTTGCTTAGATCTTCCATGTGGTTGTTATCTAAAAAGGAATTAATCCTTTCCAGTTTTTTTTGAGCACTTAAAATATAGTAGGTGCAAACATTTAAGTAGCCCCGAGTGGCTAGTGGCTCCTATTCTGAAAGGTGTTGCATTTTAGAAAGGGAAGGTAGCATCTTCATATAGGTGTGCAGTCTTGCTCTTTGCTTGTTCTTTGTGTGTATCTGCTGGGTGAACTTAAGAGGCAAGACTTAGTGCTGAAGTATTTTTATATTACAGAACCCAAGTTTTATCTTTTCTCTTTCCAAAAGGTTAGCAGTTTTTAACTATAAAGTTACAGTTTTGAACTATTAAGAAAGTATACTTTTGTCTGGAAATACTTACTTTTCTTTTTCAGTGATCAGATTTAGCACTCTGGAATTTTTGTCTTCTTAAGGTGTTTTAAAAGAATCTAAATGTTTGACATTCCATCCCAATTAAATTGGTCCATGAACTGGATTTTTTTTTTAAAGTTTTGTTAGAAAAAAAGTTGAGGACAAGAGAGAAAGAAGCTGGTCCCAATAAACAAGCAGGACTTTATTGCACTCAGTCACGAGTAGATGTCAAAATGGTGTGTGGGTAGTCAAGAGTCCTTTTTTTAAAAAAAAAGTCTTTTTTTGTATGTATACCATCAAATCGGATCTGACTGGTACAGGAGATTGCCCCTCCTTCTCCAGCAGAGCATCTGGTGGATTTGAACCTCATACCTCTGGGATAGCCCTTTGTTTTTATAGGGGTTTTTAGGAAGGACTAGGGAAGATGGTGTTTTGCTTGGAATTTGGGCCTGTTAATTAACTTGGATATGGGCTTTTGTGATGAGGCCCAGAGCTTTATCAGAATCCGTTGTCTGCTCTCTCTGAGGTTTCTTCAAGGAGTGGTCAGGCCAGGGGACATTCTTCCTCCAGGTTACACCTTTTTTCTTTGCAAGTTCTGTGAAAAAGCACAAAATCTAAAATTAGGGAGCCAGTGTCAGAATAACGTATAGCTTTCCACTTTGTATGGCTTTTCCACTTCACATGGCTTTCCACTTTGATGTGGGCTCCATTCTTAAAGATGGGTTTGACTTTTCTTAGATGGTGACCAGGGAAGACACCTGTTAAAGTGCTCTGTTCTCTAAAGGAATTCATCAGCCTTCTCTCCCTTGCCCCTTCTACCTGCAAAGTGATTAAGGCTGAGATTTTTTAGTTTATTAAATTAAGCACTTAAGAATCCTAAATTCTTCCTGCCAGTAGCTCTTCCTCTGTCTCAGAAAGCAAGGTACAATTTAAATGTTTTTTCATGGTTTAAGGAATTTTTATTAAAGCAAATATTTTGTAATCCAAATTACATTTCCTTGTCCACATATCAGTTCTGTTATCTAAAACAGAAATGACATTCTGAGCTCTTTCTACAGTAAAGAATTAAAAAATTAAAGGAATGCTTTAAATTTTTGCACTTCACTGAAAATTCTTTTCTCAGGGTTTGTAAAACTATTTTTTTTTACTATTTTACTATTTTCCCCTTTTTTGTTTTTAAATGTTTAAGTAATCTAAGACTAGCGTTGTGTGCTAGCCCCAGCATTGTTTTATACATAAGGTTCAAAGTTTCCTTTGTGTGTGTGTTTTTTGTTTTGTTTTTTTTTTTAATTTTGCAATCTGCGCCCCACAATAGTTAAATTTTTCAACGCTTAGTTGTTTTTCTTCGGTGAAGCGCGAGTTTTCTTTCATGGTCCCTGATCATTTCAAACAGTTGGAACACCGGGGCACTGTTAACTGCTTTTGGGCAGCCTCTTTAGCTTGGTGGGCTTGTAGTACAACTCCAGCTTCATCAGCCTTAGAACGAAGAGACTCTGGAGATCAAGCATATGAAGAAGTTCTGAATTATCAATCTTCAGTAACACGCTAGTGATGTTACCAGCCAGTGTAGATAGAGTGCATGGCTTGAATAAGGGGAAATAGCCTTTGACCCAACATTTGCTTTTGTTCTTTGAGGAAGGGCAGATGACGACATGGAAGCAGTCAAAGGCTCTTGACCTTGGACATGAACAGCAGGCTGGCTACTGCATGGTGACTTGTCGTACATTTAGATGTTGCTGAGGATTGCGAACTCCCGCAATATATTTGTACTGCAGCATGGTGTCGACAGCAGGAGTAGCTGCAAGCATTTGTAGGATGAAAACCCATGGTCTATGTTGATGTCTTAGCAAAACATTGTGGTGACATGACATGTGGAACTTTGAAGAAGCAGGTCTCACGGTATTAAATGGTTGTCTGGGATCAGCTGGGCAAGTAGCACTGGGCATATTTTGAAATGGATGAGGTCTGGCCCCCTGATAGTCCAGCGAGGACTTGGTCTTAATTGAGCAGTTTGCTAGGAGGTTAATATGCAGTACAATTCTGAGTCTGTGGGATAGCTGCCATGAAGTAACCTGATGGAGGTGCTGCCTGGCAGGGGCTGATCACGGAGTTAGGCACAGCTCAGACACTCACAATTCTCTGCATATAGTGATGAGTGAGGTGAGCCCGGTGCTCTTTGCACTGAGGTAAAGCTACAGACAATGGTTTCGTTGCCACAGCTCTACCATTAATTTCCTAAATGCACAATTTCTTTTAGTAACTATAATCTGTGCAGGTGGTCATGACTTTTCTAAGTTAATATAAGGTTCCAGGGTATTTTGGCTTTACTATAAAAAGTTTAGAATATTGAAAGAAAAGAAAGCTAATTAGAAAATAATTTTTGGTTAGGGGAGCTCTGGTGGCCTAGTGGCAAGGAACTGCAACTACAATCCCAGAGGCGCACCGTTCGAATCCACCAGATGCTCTGCCGGGGAAGGAGGGACAATTTCCTCCTGT